CTCCCACTTCCACCCCCCCCACCCCACCCCTCCTGGCATCTCTCCCTGCTCAGGCAGAGGCACCTAGCCTGACCAGAATGGTCTGATCCCAAGGGCTTCACGCCCAGAGTCAAAGGGCTGCGCGATCACTAGCAAACATGTTGTCTCTGCTGTTAGATTAAGTTTTCAAGGTTAGGAACTATTCTACTTGCCTTTGTGTTTCCCACAGTATCTTGCCAGAGTGCATGCACTAAATATTTATTAGACTGAATTCTGAGTATTGTTATCAGTGAATGCAGTGATTCTATCAGTAAACATATGTGGAGCCTTGTGTTACAGGGGACTCAAGAAAAAAACACAGATGCACTCCCAGCTTAAAAGGAGCTCAGAAAATGAAGGGACTTTCAGAACCTGTCTCCCCTGCTGTCCTTGAAGTTGCAAAGGAGGTTGAAATTCTACAGTATTTCAGGCCGCCCAAATATATTCAAAAGCCTTTAAAAATATTGACAAGGTTAATAGTAGGCTAGAGATCATTATCCAAATAATTATTTAATTTCTAGAGACAAAGCTTAAGATTCAACATTTTTTCTAATCATTTTCTAGGCACAGGCATCCATTTGCTCATTTCATCTTTACATTGTGTGTTTCAACCTGTTTCTGATGTAACTGATAAAGCTGAGACTCAGAGAGGTTTAGCAACCCAATCAAGGTCACAGAGCTAAGGATTCAAACCTGAGTCTACTTGCCATCAAGTTTGTGGGCCGCAAGGGCCAGATGGGTTTTATAAGAGAACTTATAATATGGGTGTCCAATAGGGGTGCTACTATTTAAATTTAAAATAGTCAAAATTAAATAAAAGTTATCAGAAAGCTGGCTGAAGAGTAATTACTCCTAGGAGAAGCAGGGAAATTGTGTTCTTCTCATTTGCATCCCAGTTCTAATATGGACCTGGCACTGAGGGAATGTTGGATAGATGAATGAATGAATGAATAAGTGAGTGAATGAACGTAATGCTCAAGACAAATACAGGTGAAACAACAAATTAGTTTGGGTCATGGTGTAAGTGTATATATGTGTGTATTTATGTATGTGTATAAAGTGAGTACTTGGAAAAGATCCTGATGCTGAGAAAAGATTGAGGGCAAGAGGAGAAGGGGTTGACAGAGCGTGAGATGGTTGGATGGCATCACCAACTCAGAGGACATGAATTTGAGCAAATTCCGGTAGATAGTAAAGGACAGGGAAGCCCGGCGTGCTGCAGTCCATGGGTCACAAAGAGTTGGACATGACTTAGCAACTGAACAACAACAAATGCTCATGTATCACAAGCTGGAATCAAGATTGCCAGGAGAAATATCAACAACCTCAGTTACACAGGTGATACCATTCTGATGGCAGAAAGTGAAGAGGAACTAAAGAGCCTCTTGATGAGGATGAAAGAGGAGAGTAAAAATGCTGGCTTAAAACTCAGCATTCAAAGCACTAAGATCATGGCATCTGGTCCTATCACTTCATGGCAAATAGAAGGGGGAAAAGTGGAAGCAGTGACAGATTTTATTTTCTTAGTTTCCAAAATCACATGCTGAAGTTCATGGAGTCACAAAGAGTTAGCATGACATAGCAACTGAGTAACAAAAACATGCTCATGTATAGATACGTGTATAAGTGTGCATCTGTACGGGCTTCCCAGGTGGCTCAGTGGTAAAGAATCTCTCTGCCAATGCAGGAGACACAGAAAATGCAGCTGGGTCAGGAAGACCCCCTGGAGGAGGAAATGGCAACCCACTCCAGTATTGCATCAGGAAAATCACATTGACAGAGGACCCTGGCAGCTACAGTCCAGGGAGTCACAAAGAGTCTGACACGACTGAGCATACATGTGCATGTGTATACATGAGGGATGGGTTGGAGATACTGGTTGCCTCATGAAAGTTCTTGAATCTTTGAATTCCAAGTTGAGTTTGAATTTAACTCCTGGCAATTGGGAGCCAAGGATGGTGTATGAGATGGGAAATGGTGGATGCGAATGATGCTTGAGATGGATGTGCTTGGCAGAGGGCACAGGACAGCCAGAGGCAGAGAAAGCCCGCGGTTGGCTCCAGTGACACTTGCTATTAGAGAAGGACCTCTGCTCGGAGGCTGGGGAGCCTTTATGAGGGAAGCCTCAGGAGGGACGGAGGTGCCTCTCACTTCCTCTTGGGATCTGTTCCTGGAGGGCAGTTCCTGGAGCAGCACACCTGGTAAGTGATGGGGGAGGGGAGGTGCCACGAAGCACTTCCCGTTCCCAGTGGCTGGGGAACTGGGGTGTGTCTGAAATATTTTTAGACAAATTTTAAGACAGCTCTGACCCCAGTGGAAGGATCTGGGCTGAAATTATTTATTCACTTAGCATCTGCTCACCCCTGTCTTTGGGGACTGGAACCCCCAAAGTCACAGGACACAGGCTCTGAGCACACACACCCCTCTCAGACAAGGCCAGAAGAGCATGTGTCTAGAGAAGTTTCTGCAGAGAAAGATAGTTACTCCAGGCTGAGGGTGGAATCAAGGAAGACTTTGTGAGGGTGGTGGCATTTTCCCTGGTCTTGCAGGCTGGCTAAGATATGGACAAAAGTAAATAAAAAGAAAAGGGAACTCCAGGTGGGAATTGCAGGAGCATAGTCGTCAAAGAAGGAAACGAAGGGCAAGGTTCAGGGCAGAGTAGCCCAGATGTCCTGTCTCCACATCCCCACCCCCACCATCTCCAGAATGCTGCTTGAACGCCAAGCCTGGCATGGGCAGGGGGCAAGTTTTCCAGTAGAGAAAGTGCCAGATCAGGGTAGCAGAGAGTCTGGAGGCAGGAAGACGGCCCAGAGGAAGGGATGGTGGTTGCAGGACACCCCAGCCTGTCCTGGGCTTCTCCCTTCAAGAATCATTCCTGGGACTCCCTGGTGGTCCAGTGGTTAAGAATCTGCCTTCCAGCGAAGGAACCTCAGGTTTGATCCAGGTTGGAGAACTAAGATCCTGTATGCCTCAGAGAAACGAAGCCTGTGGTGCTGCAATGAAAGAGCCCACGGGCTGCAACTAAGACCCAACACTGCCAAGTAAATAAAAGTATAAGTGAAAAAAGAAAAATCACTCCTTCATTTGGCCAGCACCCTCAGTACTTTGTCCCTTGTGGGCCACCATCACCGGGCAGCAAGTGCCTGGAAGAGGGCAGGTGAGGCCCAGGGAGGGGTGCTCCCCCACAGTTAATTTACTACGTCGGCAAGTTATCAGCTTGCTAGGGGCCAAGACTTACCCCGACAGGACTGAACACAGGACAGGCACATCTAAAGGCAAGGAGGCCATGCAGCGGCACGTCTGGGAGTGGGGTGAGGTGAGGAAGCCTGTCTCTGCCAAGCTGGGGTGGGGGTGAGGGGCTGCCCACCGCTTGCAGGGCCCTCACCAAGCAGTTCCCTTTAACTTGTTTCCTTCTCATGGCAACTCCGAGTTGCTCTGTCCAGTTCTCTAGAATAGCTCAGAGGGGTCAAGTAAGCTGCCCAGGCTCAGGGCTCATCAGGGACAGTGTCTGGACTGGTCTGTCTGACTCAAAGCTTATGCCTTCTCGACTTTTCCACATTGGTACAGGAGTCCTTAGAAGGAAGGCGGGACTGGGCTGCATGACTCAAGGATGGGGCTATCTCTGCAGGGCTGAGACGGTCCAGAGGGCCCCGGAGCAGAGCCGGCAGTCAAAAAGCCACTCGCCCTGACCAACCCGGTGGTTCTCATTCTTTGTGTACAAGGTATAAAGTCCTCTTTCTGCCCCCAACTAGGGGACTCTGTAGCGTGGGGTGATCTGACTGCAGCATCCTGGGGCAATTCAGACACGATCCTTTCTGCTGTGTGTGTGGTTAAAGGAGGGAAGGATCGAGGGTGGCTAAGACTTAGAACTGGACCAGGAGGCAGGGTCCAAGGAGGAAGGGGAAGACGGATCAGCTGCTGGGGGTGGAATCGGGGCACAGAAGCCACCTGTGACCATGGGCTTTGGGTGGCGGCAGCGGTGGTGGTGGCATGCAGCTGGCAGCACCAGGGGCTCCAGCACAAGGTCACAGGAATGGCAAGGGGTGAAGCAGCCTACCATATTTGGAGCTTCAGGTGGGCAGACCTGCAGGATGGTGGCAGCGTTAGGAAACTTCAGCCGCAGGAGCCTGGATTCTGGGAAGGGGTTTGGCATGAACAAGATGGAGTCGGTGGGTAGGGGCCTGTGAGAAGCTGGGTTCTGCAGAGGTCCTGGCATCTGGGCCTGGGTGGGGAGCCTGTGGCAAGGACCAGGGAAGAGGGAGGGGCCAGGTCTCAGAACAAAGGCAGGACCCAGCAGCAGACCCCAGAGGCTTGCACAGAGCCCACACTGACCGGTTGACCCCCCAGGACCCGGGGAGGGCTGGGCAGGTGACATGGCTTCAGCAGGAACATAAGGGCCAGTAGAGCCTGGGAGTGGGACAGCATGCTTTAGCAAGCTGGGGACCCTAAGGGGACTTATTTAAGAAGTCTGATTTCAGAAAAGCGCCCAGGGAGCCCCATGGACTTATGAATATTGATTCCAAAAACGAAGTTTCTGCCAACAGAAGGAAGAACCTCTGTAACTTCTATGTGTCCTAATGGAGACACAGGCTTACTAGTTTCTGTTTTGTTTTAAAGGCAAATAACTCAATCCACTCCTTTTCTGCACTCATCTTGAGTCATCATTACCTAAGAGTCATCTGATGATCAGTGTTTATTTAGTTTATGCTGCCTGCATGCGTCAGCTGTTTAGAGCCAGAAGAGATCCAGCCCCTCCTTCACTTTACTGATAAGGAAACTGTGGCTCAGAGGGGTGAAGAGACCTCCCCGAGGTACAGTGGCTCAGAGAGAGTGAGGCGGAGTCCAGTCTACCAACCCCCGGCCCATGCTCCCTATGCTTTGCATGTCCCAACTCATCTGGACTTGCCATGGTAACCAGGCTTCCTCAGCATGGGAAGAAGCAGAGGCTGCGAAGCCGTTACCTAGCAACTCCCCATAACCAGGTCAGAGCAGGGGCGAGAGGCATCCTGCGCTGCTAACCCTGGGGAGTTCAGACCTGTCAGAACGGGTCACCCACGTCAGACGGTGGCCACGGATGACCCTGGACAGAGCCACACTTGGAGGTCCCTGCCTGGGGGAGTCTCAGGACCAGAGAGTTGCTGGGACTATGGTGCAGACCCGGGTCAGCTGGGGCCCCATCCTCACAGCTGACGCTGGGCCTTAGTATGTACAGTTCTGGTTTCTTTGAACAGCATGGAACCTGTCCCCACTGACATGCACGTGGGAATCCTTAGAAGAAGGCTGTTGGTAGGGTGTGTGTGTATACATATGTATGCATATATCTGTGTGTATGTGCGTATATATGTGTATGTATATTTGTGTAAGTGTTATATATGTGTGTGTATATGTATGTGAATCTGTATATATCTGTGTGTATACATGTGTATGTGTATATGTATGTGTATATCTCTGTGTATATACATTTATGCATATGTGTTTATGCATGTATACCTGTGTGTATATGTCTGCATATATCTGTGTGTATACATGTGTATGTACATCTCTGTGTACATATGTGTGTATCTGTGTGTGTGTGCATGTGTGTGTATCAGTGCAGGTATTTCATCCTGGAAAGGGAAGCTAGGAAGCTGTATTCTCTCATGTTGCCTTCTTGCTTCTTAATTTAAACAAATAATTAAAAATGCATTTTATTAACATTTTACTAGACCATGATGATTTTTTTTTTCTTTTGGCCACACTGTGCAGCATGTGGGATTTTAGTTCCCTGATCAGGGATCAAACTTGTGCCCCCTGCAGTGGAAGCTCGAAGTCTTAACCACTGGACTCCAGGTCCTTAATTATTTCAAGAAATGTTTATGAAATGGCCTGGTCATAAGCAAGGTGGATCTTCTTCTAATAATCCCTGTAGTTGGGTCTTGACAACAATTGCCCTCTGCCACTCTACCCCTACCTGATTCTTCTTGTGGGCAGAGCCCTGCCTGGGTTCCCAGGTTCTGTCTCCTTTCGGGTCCCCCCAGTTGGCCTAAGCCAGTTACCATGGTCTTGTCTCTTGGAAGCAGTTGGTTTAAGAATGGCATGTGGGACTTTTCTGGTGGTCCCGTCGCTAAGACTCCGGGGTCCCAGTGCAGGGGGCCTGGGTTTGATCCCTGGATGGGGAACTAGATCCCATGTGCCTCAGCTAAAGATCCTGTATGCTTCAGTGAAGATTCTTGATTCCTCACTCAGATCTCAGACCTGGTACAGTCAAATAAATAAATGAATAGAGAAAAAAAAAAGAATGTCATGTGGTCTAGTCATTTCCAGTGGTATCTGAGGAGATGGCTGCTGAAGGGGCTTCCAGGGAAGGTTTTTTCTTCTTAACTAAAACTGGGGGAGAATATGTTTCTTCTTCATTGGATATTGTCGGTGATGCCTGTGATGCCTGGAACTGCAATGGCCACTGAGAAGAGACACCACCGATGCTCAGAGGATGGCATTGATGAGCCATTGAATTCCACAAGCCAGGAATGTCGAGGCCTCTGGACATCTTATATAGGACATCACAACCCTTCTGATCAGGTCAAGGTTCTGTGTTCTTGACAGCAAACCCTCTTAACTGGTTCTCTTGCTTCCTGGCCTCAGGGTCACTCTTTCCTCTAGTCTTACTGGGGCACTCAGTAGACATCCCGATAAGGCTTACTATTAATGGTAAAGGACCCAAAGGAAACAAAAGTCTGTCTTCCCGAGTAAGTCAAAGACATGATGCCTCAGTCCTTTATCTGATGGCGTGGGACTGAAAGCAGACCCTCAGCCGCATGTCCTGCTTCTTGCAAGTCTGGATAAGCTTCTTCCTCAGGAGTCTGAAAGCATCTCTTATATTCCCAGCATCCAGCACACTTCATTCATTCATTTGTGCAGTGGTGTGCTGGAGCTGGCTCCTTACATGCTCGTGAGAGTCGATTGTGCACATCTCTACCCCACTTTGAGTTCAGTGATGTCATGTTGGTAGCTTGAAGTCAGCCAAGGTGTTTTTTTTTTTAAATAAACTTGAGTTTTGGAAGCAGTTTTAGGAGAAGTTTTTAGAGAAGATAGAGATTTTTATTATTTTTCCTCCACATCCCCACATATGCCTAGCCTCCCCCATTATCAATATCCCCCATGAGAGTGGTCCATTTGTTCCAGCTGATGAACCTGCATTGACATACCACTATCACCCAAAGTCCATAGTTTCTGTCAGTGTTCACTCTTGGTGTGGGTTTTGACAAATGTTAAATGATGTAGAACCACCGTTATAGGATCAGAGAGACGAACTTCACTGTGAAGCCCTACAAATCCCCCGTTCCACCTCTTCTCCTCTGCTCGACCTTGGCAACCTTTGATCTTTTCATTGTCTCTATAGTTTTGTGTTTTTTGGACTATCATATCGTTGGTATTGTAGCCATTTCAGATTGGTTTATTTTACTTAGTAATATGCATTTTGGTTTCCTTCATGTCTTTTCATAGCTTGATAGCTCATGTCTGGGTGTCCTGCAGTTTATTTATCCATTAACATCCTGAAGGCTATCTTGGTTGCTTTCAAGCATTGGCAATTATGAGTAAAGCTGCTATAAACATTCATGTGCAGATTTCTGTGTGGATATGTTTTCAGCTCTTTTGGGTAAATGCCAAGGAGAACGAGTGATTGATAGATCGTATGTTAAGACTATGTTTAGTTTTGCAAGACACTGCCAAATTTTCTTTCAAAGTGGCTGTACTATTTTGATTTCATTTCATTTGCATCAGCAGTGAGTGAGAGTTCCTGTTGCTCCACACCCTTGCCAGCATTTGGTGTTGTCAGTGCTTTAGATCTTGAGTTTTCTAAGAGGTGTGTAGTGGTATCTCATAGTTTTAATTTGCATTTCTTTAATGACGTATGGGGGCTTCCCTGGTAGCTCAGCCAGTAAAGAATCAGCCTGCAATGCAGGAGACCCTGGTTTGATTCCTGGGTTGGAAAGACCCAGTGGAGAAGGGATAGGCTACCTACTCCAGTATTCCTGGGCTTCCCTGGTGGCTCAGACAGGAAAGAATCCACCTGCAGTGTGGGAGACCTGGGTTCGACCCTGGATTGGGACGATCACCTGGAGGAGGGCATGGCAATCCACTCCAGTATTCGTGCCTGGAAAATTCCCATGGACAGAGAAGACTGGTGGGCTACAGTCCATGGGGTCACATGGATAAAACTGAATGACTAAGCACAGCACAGCACATATGATACTGAGCATCTTTCATATACTTACCTACAATCTTATATCTTTAGTGAAGTGTCTGTTCAAGTCTTTTGCCCATTTTTGAATTGGGTTGTTCATTTTCTCATTGTTGGATTTTAAGAATTCTTTGTTTATTTTGGATCTCAGTCTTAGATAACATATCTGTCAGATAAGACTTTTGCAAATATTTTCTCCCATTCTGTGGTTTGTCTTTTCATTCTCTGGTCACATAGTAGGAGTATTTACATCACTGAATTGACAAACATGACAAATCAGGGCTTTTCCTCAAAGAGCCAGTTGTTAAACTTGTAACAGCGCAGTAAAGCATTCATGTTGTTGAGTGAACTGTTTGCCCTCAAAAATGTTCAGGGCAGTGGGGGAGGCAGGTTGATGCAGTGAAGTTCTGAGTGTGGGAACAGAGACAGAGCAAAGATGCTACAGGACATAAAGAAGGAGAATCCACATCAGCTGCGAAGTTGGGGTGGCTTCTCAGTGTAGAACGTGAGCCCTGAATGAAGTACTTTAAAGGGAGTAGCAGTTGTCTGGATCCAAACAGCCCAATAAATAGGCACTTGGCTATCTAACTTAGCTGCACTGGACACACTGCATATATGACCAGAGGCCACCACATTGGACAGAGCGAATAGAGAATTTCCCATCATTATTGCAGTATTGGACAGCACTGGTCTAGATCAAAAGTGGGAGAAAGACAATCCAAGCAGAAGGAACAGGCTGGGAAGACTCAGAGATCTGAGATGCCATGACTCATTCTGGGCAGAGATGGGGATTTTAACTGAACAAACAAGCAGGAGTCAGGATACCACAAAATGTCTTTAGTGAGAAGCTAAGGAGTTTAAACTCTACCTTGAAAATCATGGGGAGCCCCTGAAGGCTTTACCAGAAGCCCGATGTTATCTGCTTTGCATGTTAATCAGCTCTGGCAGTGTGGATTGAGGGGGCCAGCCAGGAGTCAGGGAGGCCAGTTCTGAGACCATGGCAGTGACCCGGGGGTGGGGGGGATGCAAGGGAAGTTTGAAACAAGGCAATGACCGTGGCACAGAAACAGAGAGAGGGCAAGGTCAAGAGATGGGAAGGACCCAATGGCTGATGGCATGTGGCCCCTGGGAGTACTTTGTAAATATTTGTTGATTTCATGAATGAATTATAGCTAAGCTCAAATTGTACAACTTGAGTGCACATCTCCTGGGACACTGTTGCACACATGAAGAGGTACAGGAGCAATTTTTTAGCTGAAGGAGAAAGGGGTGATAGGGAGAGAGACAGAAAAGAGACGAGGACTTCCCCGGAGGTCCAGTGGCTAAGACTCCCCATTCCCAAAGCAGGAGGCACAGTTGATCCCTGGTCAGGGAACTAGGTTCAATCCCTGGGTCAGGAAGATCCCCTGGAGGAAGAAATGGCAACCCAGTCCAGCATTTCTTGCCTGGAAAATTTCATGGAAAGAGGAGCCTGGCGGGCTACAGTTCATGGAGTCTCAAAGAATTGGACATGACTGAGCATGCACATGTACAGAGACTTCAGCTAAGAGTTCATCTGCCACAACTGAAGAACCCGCATGGCCATGATGAAGATGGAAGTTCCTGCATGCTGCAAGTAAGACCCGGCACAGTCAAATAAATAGATTAAAAATAAATTTTAAAGAGTAACAATTTATTTTAAAGAAAGAAAAGAGATGAAGGAGAAGGTGGCATCACTGTCCCATCTGATGGAGAGACTCTGGTGAGGGGCCCTGGACCCAAGCAGTGTCTCTCTGGGGCCGAGGGACTAGGGCTACTCAGAGTTGGGTGCAGGTCATTCTCCACCCCACTCTTTGCCACACGGACGACGGGGCAGATTTGTTTTCCTGAAGGATTGGGCCATTTCGCCAGCAGACAGATGCAATACACAGTGAATCTGCAGCATCAGGGGAGACATTGTCAGCAGAGGCTGTCCCGGGCAATTGAACATGGCCAGAGTAGGA